ACTCACACACACACACTCACACACTCACACACACACACACACTCTCACACACTCACACACTCACACACTCACACACTCACACACACACACACACACACACACACACACACACACACACACACACACACACACACACACACACACTCACACTCACACTCACACTCACACTCACACACACACACTCTGGCAGTTTCATGAAAGAAATATATATATATATGTATATGTGTGTGATTGTGAGTGTTTGTGTGCTGTGTGTGTGTTCAGAATGATTAAAAAAAAAAACAGGAGTGATTATAACCTTGACTAACCCTACAAGCGTCATAAAAAGGAGAAACAGCCTGAGATTCAACTGAAGATCGGCTGATGTTGAGGATCTGATGATCATCATCCAAAACATAACCTTCAACTAAACACATACACCACCTTCACTATGTGCAGACACTCACACACACTCACTCACTCACTCCCTCCCTCACACGCACACACTCAAGCACACACTTACTCACTCACTCACACAATCACTCACTCACTCACTCACACACACACTTCCTCCATAAAAATCCAGTGAGACACAGACATGCAGGCAAACAGCGAGCAAACAAAGACAAATTTGCTAAAACAGAAATACGTTTAGCAGCAGCCGTGGAGAGTTTATTTGATAGGTTTAAAAAGCTTCTGGAGTAGAAAAGAAAGTGCAGCATCCATCCATCCATAGAGGAGTGAGCCTCTTCAACACACACACACACAAACTGATCTAATAATGACTGCGAGCGCTGAACAAACATAAAGAGCAATAAAGCCAGAGACGAGCTAAATAATTTACATCTGTGCATCGGTAAAGCGACTTAAAGTGGCTAATAACCAGAGCTGAATAATGATGCTATTAGAGACTCAACCCTTCAGACGACTGGATATCGAGCGGTCACCATTACAGTCTGTTTACATCCAATGCAACTAAACCAAACAACAGTTACACACATCAATACTGTTAACACTGAGTCTGACACTCAAGTTCTGTCATGCTTTCAAAGTCTCTGTTTTTGGGTTGTTTATCTATTTCTCACCAATTAAAAAAGCTTTTAAAGGGAACATCATCACAATATTTTGTCTCTAAAAGATCTTTTGTGTATAGTAACACACCTGCTGTTAGATCAGATGCGAGATGACCATCAAACACTACCCAGAATGCATTTCAGCACGAGTCCATCTCTCTCTCTCTCAGTGCTGAACCCTTTTATTCTTCCCTAAAGTCTCCTGTACTCGTCCGCTGTCATTCCTCACTCTATAATTTACACTGCTGATCTGTTCCTCCTTCCACTGGCATCCCGAGAGGATCCGGAGTGTGTGTGTGTGTGTGTGTGCGTGTAGTGTGTGTGAGTAAGTGATTGAGTGAGTGTGTGTGTGTGTCTGTCTGTCTGTGTGTGTGTCTGTCTGTGTGTGTGTGAGTGAGTGTTTGTGTGTGTGTGCTCATGTGCTTGGTATCATGTGAGTGTGGCTTGATGTGTGTGTGTGTGTGTGTCTGTCTGTCTGTGTGTGTGTCTGTCTGTCTGTGTGTGTGTCTGTCTGTCTGTGTGTGTGTCTGTCTGTCTGTGTGTGTGTCTGTCTGTCTGTGTGTGTGTCTGTCTGTCTGTGTGTGTGTCTGTCTGTCTGTGTGTGTGTCTGTCTGTCTGTGTGTGTGTCTGTCTGTCTGTGTGTGTGTCTGTCTGTCTGTGTGTGTGTCTGTCTGTCTGTGTGTGTGTCTGTATGTCTGTGTGTGTGTGTGAGTGAGAGTGTGTGTATGTGTGTGTGTGTGAGAGAGAGTGTGTATATGAGTGTGTGTGAGTGAGTGTGTGTGTGTGTCTGTCTGTCTGTGTGTGTGTCTGTATGTCTGTGTGTGTGTGTGAGTGAGTGTTTGTGTGTGTGCTCATGTGCTTGGTATCATGTGAGTGTGGCTTGGTGTGTGTGGGTGTGTGTCTGTCTGTGTGTGGGTGAGGGAGTGTTTGTGTGTGTGTGCTCATGTGCTTGGTATCATGTGAGTGTGGCTTGATGTGTGTGTGTGTGTGAGAGAGTGTGTGTATGAGTGTGAGTGAGTGAGAGTGTGTGTGTGTGTGTGTGTGTGAGAGTGTGTGTGT